AATGACTATGGGAAGTAAATTGATGTAGGAAACTTTTTTATGTTTGGAAATATCACAAGAGCATAGAGAAACATATGGACTGGGAAGTTGTGTTTTGAGCGAAACTTTGTGTAATATGTCAACAGAGCAGCACAGCAGGGGGCCCACACAACACTGTAAATCATGACAGCACCATATGAACTTATGTCAGCCAAGAAATATGACAAGATGCCATACTTAAAAAATTAGCCTGATAAACACACTGTCACAAGAGAAGACGCCGCCTGTGTAAGTGCTGTCCAAACAGCTGCCACAAAACCCTCTGTGAGGAGGGAGCGTTCAGAAAGCTAATAAAAATCTGGGTGGTTTGACATTGTTCTGGTGTTCAGGACTGAAATCTGACATTAAGCCACTGTCACACAGACCTCTGTCAACCTGAGCTGATTGATTCCTAAAACTCTCTGAAGCTGAATGTCTTTTAAGCTTCACCAGCTTCTCTATCGGCTCTGTGGAAATCTGATAACTTCACACAATTTTCTGCTTCGAGGACACATCTCACCTAAAAGCCACTGCTGCCTGAAATCTTCCTTAACCCGCTTCATGCTGCTGACTGACGCCGCGCTGAGATGCAGTGAAGGGGACGAGCTGGTTCCTGAAATGGATTCCTAATAAGATCTCATGAAGATATCGGACGTCGCTGCCTGCTGGGTTTTACACATCCAGACTATAATGGATCGCATTCAGCGGGGTCAGGCCATTTTCTCTCCTCTGATACAGAGATTGAAGTGAATGTGCCGTGTTATTCTTTGGCCTGACAGGCCGATTTGATCCCTGTCACAACAAAGCGTCCTGGTTTCTGAGAGAAGATCAGCGTCGCTGCTCACTTCTTTCAGCTCCAGTGCTTCACTTTTCCACCTTTTACACAAAGACCTCTTTTACAGACAGCTATAGTGCACACATGTCCGACACACACACACACACACACACTGAACCATGAGCCTTGTCTCTTAGTCGTCAGTCAATATCCACTTATCTGCTGTGAAGAGTTTTTGTCCAGGGAAGTCAGCCTCTGTGCGACGTGGTAAATGTGACCTGCACAGGATCAATCTTTTGTGCACATTTTTAATATGTCGCCATTTTCCATTAAAGACAAGCCAGAGTTTTTAATATCATCATGGTGGAAAGGAATCCAAATAGCTCTTTAGAGGACACAACCTGCAACAGCCAGTCCCTACAAACACATTAGCGCTGTGTCACTAAACGTTGTGTCTTTTGTTACAGACAAATGCAGGGTTGAGTTGCTTTAAAGCACTTCATCAGCACTTTAATTGCCACTCAGATATGCACAAGTGCACATTGCTGGAAAATTACGTTTGTCAATGGGGTAATTCGACTGTTCATCGAGAGCAGGAGAAATTAACCACCGCCTTAATAACTTTTGCAGAGCTGGAAAATCCGCTGCCACTATATTACAGCAAACGCTGTTTAAACAAAATCTGAATGAATAAAAATCAGCTTAGTATTAAGAAGAATCATTATTAAAAAGGCAAATTTAAAAGAGAAAGATAAAAATGGGTTTATCCACAAGAAGTAAAAAAACAAAAACAAAAAAACTTTCACATTGGTTCATAAGTTAACTCATGAATGTTCAGGTGTGATCCAAAAAGTTCCAGGAATGGGCTCATAAAAAGAAAAAGAAAAACATCTATCTAACTTAAATCTGGCAGGTTCCAATGTGGCGGCTTATTTTTAGATCATTCATTTATGCCCTCTTGTACCTCTGTGACGAGTGCTGGATCACCTCCAGTGGGTCAAAGCAATGATCCTTCAATCAGATTTTCATTTTCTGGAAGTGGACAAAGTCACAGAGAAGCAAAGCTGGCAAGCAGACGCGTGGTGAGTACAAAGTGTGCTGTTATGGCCAAAAAACTCCAGTGTTTTCAAAGCACTTTGTGTTGGCACGAGATTGCACGCTGGCAGGTACTAGTTCAGAGGCACCAGTTCAGAGCATTTCCTCAGAGTTTTCTCCATCAGATGGTACGGGGACATTACAGCAAAACTCTGCGCTGGCAGTCTCCGAGTGGGAAATGAATTCTTGGTGCAAAGCAAAACAGCAAAATGCTTCCAGTCTCGCTCATCGCCTGACGAGCTGCCTTTGTTCTTCCGCTGAAGACCGCTCGGTTGTATCTGGAGACCCAGCTTTGACGACGCTCCTCATAAAATTTGAGTCAGTTTGAAACAAAGTTGATGTTCGCTCTTTGTGTTAGTTTTGAGTTTTGATCACAATGATCTAAAAACGGAATCTTCAAAAACTCCAGAAGAAGACCGTGAACAAAAGAGCTTAAAAATGTAAGTCAGCTGAGGCTTTGTGGTTTTATCACTGCATCCAATGATTATATGGTCTTAAATAAACGCCGAAGCTAGTCTCTAACTTTCATCTCAGCCAAATTATGATCATCATTATATTCAAACACAATTTGCAGTTAACTATTGTGCATTACTTTTGGAGGGCACTGCATATGGTATCTACAGTTGTATAAATAATTAATATTTGATGAGCCGTTTCCAAGAAGTGCCAGAACCTCACTGTGGCTCTTGGCCAGAATAATATGAAAGAAAGCAAAGACCAAAAAGCAATAGTTATAAGATGCAATAAAAATAACATTAGTAAAATATAAAACAATAATAAATTCATAATAAATCTAACCCAGCTACCCTGCTGCTCCAGAAACCAGAGGCATGCTGAACTTTCACATTACACACATACTTTCACTCACATGTACTCACAGTTCTGCAAGTGTCTGACTGTGGTTTTACTGCAATAATTACACGTATGCATATGTGTTTTTGTCTCTTTTTGTCTTCTATTTAAGCATTTTTCAGATAAATTATGACTTCAAGAAAGCCGACTAGTTTAGCAGCTCTGTTCATGTTGTATCATATCTACACAGTCTTCTTTATATTCCTTCTTTGTCTTTTCATAATGATGTAATGAATTACGCTTTCAGTTTTCTTATGCAGAAAGAAGTTTTAGGATCACAGCTCCAACTAGATCTTTATGCCATACTTTGCATGTTTAGAAGGGATGTATCGCCTGAAACTGCACCTGCCCCTGAAAAGCTACCAACTGTTCATCCACACAGAGATCAGGACGAGCGATATAATATTTAAACATGCAAACATCCCTGAAAAGATCCTTCATGCACTGAAGGATATCTTGTTTTAAGGCTGCAATGAAGAGTTTAGATGTGGAAAATACAACAAAAGCCTGATAAAGTTTATAAAAACCCACCAGCACACCAATGGACCAATTTGTCTTAATGACTATGGGAAGTAAATTGATGTAGGAAACTTTTTTATGTTTGGAAATATCACAAGAGCATAGAGAAACATATGGACTGTGTTAATAAATGAGCCCCTTCAGCCACTTTAAAGTTAAATTACAGCACACAACATAAGGTTTTTAATCAATATTCATTATATCGGAGTCTTGCTCTTTTCTCCTGTGTGACTTCGAGCTTCCAGCAATGAACTCCGTTTAATATAAAGCTACAGCCAGCCACGTGTATCAGCCTGAATCTAAGTGTCAGCTGCACCTCAGAAGTGAGAGGAAGAGGATTTCGATCATCTGAGCAGTGATTCTTCGATACGGGTGAGTTGACGGTCAAAGTCACCTTTCATCCTTTTGATGAAGTCTCTGTCGTCTGACCCGATGTCCTCCCGGAGCCTCTTCTGACAGCCGCCTGCAGAGCGGAAACGAAAGAGCACTTAAAACATCACACTGCCCACTCAGACGCACATGCCGTCTAAGCATGCTGTTTTTATTAGTGCTGCCAGGACTGTATCTGAACAGAGGGCTCAAAAATGAATTTAAAAAAGGTAAAAACAGGGAAACGAATAAACTTGCAAAACAGAGAGCACAAACAAGTCTGCACGCACCTTCTAACAGCCTCGGTGAGGGCTTGCTGGCTGGCAGAGGATCCATATTCAAGACCTTGTAAAGCTGTCCAAAGGCCAGGAGGCGTAACGCATGCTGAAACACACACAGCCGACAGAATAAGGGCACATCACTGCGGTGGTAAAGCCACAGAAACCCTCCTGCACTCACAGGAGAGCAGGGCCATTTATTCTCAGATCAGTGTGCTTTAATTATCGGGGAAACTTGAGCGAGCTGCTCGCCGTTTGTGTAAACCGACTAATTCTGTTGGGAGAAACTTCATGCATTATGGAGACGAGGCACAAACAAAGGAGGAAATGGGGAAAAATATATTCCCAGACTTGCACTTCATCAAGAAAGCAAAACAAAGATGAAGATGAGGATGTCTTTATATTTCTCACTGCTGAGCCTACACTTTCTGCCCGGGGCCAGATTTCGTTATTTCGTGTGGAGCAGCAGCGGTGGTGGTGGTAGTAGTTGTAGTAGTCTTGGTGTGGGTGTAGATGAGGAAGAGTGTTCCCACGCTCATTAGCTGGCTAATTAAGCTGCCAGTTTGTCAAAGCTTCCGCAGCACTGAGGGGTTGCTTATCTGAGGTCAGAGACTGTGCTTCTGTGGACACTCAGCTATTTATAGTGCTGACATGAGCTCGGTGCTCCACCGGCGGAGGCCCAGGACTCGTTTTAAATAACCCTCCATCAATCGGTGTAGCGGGAAGAAGTGTTACATGTCCGATTTACTGGAAAAAATGCTGACTTTCATACAGTGGGTGGAGGGGAGCATCGAAACACACCATAGTGGGATGTTTCAAGGTCTCACAAGCTGCATGGCTGAGTCTGACTTTTTCTTTCTTGGCACATGAACTGATTTTTCTCAGTGTCTGTGGTTGGTTTTATAGTTGGAAAGCAGGAAGGGAATTTCTCAGAGGGAAAGATGTAAAGCTAACATCCATAAAGAAGATTGTCTTAGATGGAAAATGGATCTCTAAATTCAGAACATCTGTGGTTTTGCAGCACTGATTCACCTCCAGGGAGGAAAGAGTTTGGACGTCATTGATCTCTGAAAATACGGAAATATTCTCAACTTAACTTTAATCTTTCTTTTAGTGATTTAGTGTTTAAGAAAGATTAAATTAAAAAAATTTTCTTTTTCTCTCATCCCAGACTCGATGAAACTGGAGATTTTCAGCAGCACCAGTAAAAACCTGGACAGCTGTGGCCCACAGGTGAGACATGGAGTTCATCCCCCAGGAGCAAACAGCATATTATGAATGGGAACTTCTTTACAGCTACGGTCAAAGAGCGAGAGTAATTTGGCTGAGCTAAAGGGGGTAATATAATATTATGGTGTAAGCACAGTTAGGTTCATAAGCTTTTGGGCAATGACACAATTTTTGTAAATTAACGGACCTCACTGTGTATCATTGTGCAAAAGGGACATAATGGCTCACTAAATCCACAGTTTGTGTCTTTTTTTCCTTCAAAATAAAACATTCTGTTCCTTCAGAAGGCTCGACTGAAGGAATATTATACTAATAGGTAAAATATGCTCAAAGTCTGTTCTTGCAGAATGTTGTAAGCTTCATCATGCCTTCATCTTATTACACATGAGACATTTTGTCATATTTACTGAGTAATCTCAGATCAATTTCAGATAACCGGTTAACAAGAATGTGGTTACTGTGTAGTAGTAACGCCTTTGTCACACAAAGCAAACAGTATTATACAAACACACTGAAACCCACCCGAGGGGGAAAAGTCCTGCACTATGGGGCAGATGGCTAAAATACTAAAAAAATCGGTACCTTTATGTGAATAAAAACAGATATCAGTATGATATCTACTGAGTAATTACTACCATTACTCAACATCCGCTCCTACCTCAGTGATTCCTTCACTGCTATTACTAATTGGTTTCTTTAAACTTGCTCCCTCTCAATCCTGGCAGAACTGAGGCGCTGGTGTTCAGCCTGACAGTTTCTCTGAAAAGGTCAGTCATTACATCGGCCCGCCTGCGAGCAATATCAGATCTTCTGCTAAGACGCCTGGTGTTATTTTTGACCAGCATTTCAACTTTGAATCTCACATCTCAAAGCACCTCCAGTTTCTTTCATCTAAAAAACATCACAAAAATCAAACCTCTACTGTCATCCAGTAATTCTGAACTTTTATTACACACTTTGATTTTCTCCCGTCTCGATTACTGTGACTCACTTTTCACATGGATCTCTCTCTCTCTCTCTAGTCCTCCCGAGCTCGTCTTTCAGCTGTTCCAGAAACACTAGTCAGCGTTCACACGTCAGCCCATTCTTGCTTCTCTTCACCGGCTTCAAGTGAAATTCTGCATTTATTTTATTAACAACATAAAGACTTTGTCTTATAAAGCCATGCAGGACCAGGCTCCACACTCATCTCATTATTATGTAACTGCTCCCCCTCCCTGAGCCTATTTCTCCTGGAGGTTTCTTTCTGTTAAAAGGGAGTTTTTCCTTCCCACTGTTGCCGAGTGCTTGCTCACAGGGGAGTCATCTGATTGTTGGAGTTTTCCCTGTATACATCTTGAGGTGACTGTTGCTGTGCTTTGATGTGATATAAATAAAACAGAACTGAATTAAAAGGTTAATTATGCCTATACCTATACTATATATACCTATGGTTACCAGAGCCTGAAATGTCCTTTATCCACAGGCCTTCAACTACAAAGTGATACACAATGAGCAAACCAAAGCCTTAAGATCAATTAAGCTGTGAATTAGTCGACTCTTCCCCTACAGCAAGAAGGCTCAGATCCTCCAGCTGGCTGGCACCTTTCTGTGAGCAGTTTGCATGATCTTCTTGTACCTGTGTGGGTTTTCTCCGGATACTCCACCTACCCTTCACAGTCCAAAGACGTGTGGTTAGGTTGGTGATTCTAAATTGCCCATAGGTGTGAATGTGAGTGTGAATGGTGATGTATCTGTGTGTTAACCCTGTGACAGCCAGCCAACCTGTCCAATGTGTACCCTGCCTCTCACTTATTAGCAGCTGAAAAAAGTGACAAACATTCTGAATTTTGTGGGTTGAAAAGCTTAGCATGCACACTGCAGGAAGAGGAAACCGTGATGTCATCATAGTAGGCGAATGGGTAACATGTTCACTGACCTGAGCGCTGTGTGTGATGGCGTCGGCCTGCTGGGCGCTGAGGTCAGACAGGACGTCGGTGGGCTCCCTCTCACAGGGGTCATGAACTCCTGGACCCCCTTTGAAGGAAAAAAACAAAACAAAAACAGTCAGACATTTTGAACTTTATTTCACTCAACAGGTAAACACAAATTATTCTCCTGCTGCCTTAATGCTTTTTATGCCTCACGTAAAGCACTCGGTAAGACCTCAGTGCATGAAAGGTGCTTTACAAACAAGCTCACCTTACTTTAATGTGCACAGACTGAATAATAACTCATCAGTGACCGAGTGCATTCATGAAACAAACTGCCCTCAATGCTGAAGGAACTTCGGAGCCAAAATTTAAAAGTCCAGTGACATCATCACAAGGACGAACTCGCTCGAGCTGAAGTTTTCCCAGATGAAGCATTCAAACACAGCAGCGAACAGCGGTGGAAAAAATAAACGTGAGAACATATTTCTGTTGTTGGAGGTAAATAGGAAACATTTCTTCATGTGGACTGCACGGAAATGAAAACAGAGTCTCCGGGGATAAATGTTCCCATGATTCAGGAAAATACTCCATCACCAATTTTAACTGAATGAAATCATGCTGCTGTGAACCCGCTGGGACTCTGTGCCCCAGTTTGGAAACCGTGAACGCATCACAGTGCACTCCACAGCCTGCCATGAATGTTAGGACCATATATGTAAAGATATTACATTGCAGAAAAACCACCTATTGAGGTCTTGCAGATACGTCACAGCTTACCACGTCACAGCTTACCACACGACATTAATTTGTCGGCCATTTTGGAAACGATGAGACACTATGGCAACCACGAGTAAACAAACAAGTGTTTCTCTCAGAGGAAGTAAAACACTTTCATGGTAAGCGTTTTGCTCGTTATGTGGAGAAATTGGGCAAAGGAGGAGCTGAGGATGGATGTTTATTTACTCCCTCTGAGGGTGTTTACTCATGTTGTGAAGTGCAACCCTGGCCCTCTTCCCAACTTCACGCCTCACGATTTTCATCATTTTGTTATCAACAACCCCTCAAATTATACTGGATGAGATCTGAAGCCCTATAAAAGTTTGGAGGCTTATCAGTATTTTGTGTCAAGATGAGTAAGAAGCCTCAGTCACGGGACTCTGCCTGGAACTGTAGTCGAAAGGATCAAGTGGTCACTGATTCATTCAACTGATGTTTATGAAATTTCTGATATTGACATGGCTCTGCGTATTATCCCTAAAATTCTCAACAAGTCAGTGTAGATCATTTGTGATTGATGAGAGTGATACTGAGGCGAATTGTTGAGAATATCCATCATTTTCCATCAGTTAGCTTCTGTTCACTGCTATTCCCCACAGCTACTGAACCCTTTTTTGGAGTGGATCTAACGTGGGTAGACGTGAACTTAGCATGTGCTGTGAGAATGTAATCAAACTGTTTATCACAGGAAAAGTAAGAGTTTTAGGGCGTTAGCATAACGTTAAAATTAGCTTGCATAAACATAGCATTATGTTTTTTAGCCGGCTCTTGTCAGCTGTCCAGAGACAGGAGGGTCACAGCATGATCTGCTGACGATGACCAACTTCAGAACCGGACTTCAGTTTAGGACTGAGGCTGGTAGATGGATGGCAGAAACAACTTATAACTGATACTATGACTATCAGAGTTTTTTAGCCCCCATATTCTTTTATCCAAATCAGCAGGAAAGTGATAAAAAAAGATTTTCTTTCTTTTCTTGATGAATGCAACAGTGCAGCAGAATATAGGCCAAAAAACATGGCAGCAATAATTTCTATGTAAACAAGGTACACGTTATTGCAGGGGTGGGCAACTCCAGGCCTCGAGGGCTGGTGTCCCTGCAGGTTTTAGATGTGTCCTTGGACCAACACAGCTGATTTAAATGGCTAAATTAGCTCCTGCAGTTCTCCAGAGGCCTGGTAACGAACTAATCATGTGATTCAGGTGTGTTGACCCAAGGTGAGATCTACAACCTGCAGGACACCGGCCCTCGGGGCCTGGAATTGCCCACCCCTGCGTTATTGGATATCGCTAACAGTTATCACATCCAGTGTGGCAAACACTTCTTGAAGTGATTTTCCATGATGTCACATGCAAAACTCAAAGTCCTAAAACCGTCTGAGGAGTTTTGATGCTGTGTTCATCTTTATAGTTTTTTGTCCTCATCCTTTCCTGATGTCTTCTGCTTTTCTTTCTTCATGTCTCTGTTTCCTGTCTTGTTTGGCTGTTTTGTGTTGCTGGTTTTCCTGCCCATCTCTGCGGTAGTTGGCCATTGTATCTACCTGTTATGCTTATCCACTTCCACTGTGTCCTCTTTGGGTTTCTTCTTGACTTTTTTTGGGGACCTTTTACCCAAGTATTGCTTTATTGTATCTTGCTGCTAACCCTTTCCATCACTGGGCCTCACTCACAAACAAATGCACAATGTGAATACAAATCTGTGTCTCTTCAGTTAAACAGAGAGAAAACAAAGACAATTATTTCTTCTTTTAGTGGCAAGGAAGACACATTAATGGTGACTGGATTGAGGTTGTAAATGAAAATAAATGCTTGGGGACAGCAATCGATGAAAAACTGTGTCATTCAAACAAGTGTCATTTACAAAGACGCACTGCAGCGATTGAATTCCATGTGGAAGCTGCGACTCTTAGGAAACAACCACACACACTTGATCTTTTATATTGTTGTTTTGGAGAGAGTATTCAAACTTTCCACTTTATTGCCTCGTATCTTTCTTTCCCTGACGTTAACGAGAACAAATTCAATAAGACTGTAAATATGTCTGGTGAGATTGCAAGTCGACATGTATTGTGACACATCTTTGAGTTGAGTGATCCTCAGTGATGTGCCACGCACTCTCGAGGAAAACGAGTTCCAAGTGTCTTCTGTACCTTACAGTATTGTAAAAATCCAGAGCGCGGGAGCTGTTTCACTTGGACTATGTGAGGCATTAATTCTTGGTGAACATCAAATGTTACCTGAAATGGCTTAAACATTTATGACCTTACTGGATACCACTCACTCTCAGGTAAAATCTCACTTGTGTTTTTTTCTTTTAAACGATTACAGTGAGTTTCTCTTGTTCTGCCAGATCAGGTGCTTCTTTTGTGCTACACCTGCTTCCTTTGTTTTTGTCTAAAATTGGACATTTTTCTGTCCAGCTGACTTTTTTTTTTCCTGTCAAAAATGTTCTGTATCCGATTAATTCAATTTTTTGCATTCTTTGCATCACCTCAGTTATTTTAGCCCAAGCCCCTCTCTCGCTCTCTCTTTCTCACTGTCTCCTTGAATGCCATTTTTTTCTGTTTCTTCAGCTGGAATTTCTCCTGCTCTCCTTCTCTTATTTCTTGCACAGGGCAAAAACATTTTTATGCACTTATTAGTAAATTACTCCCATCGCTTGCCTTTTGCCCTCTCTCTGCTCCCTCCTCTTTCCTCCCACCACGGGGCACAGCGGGTGACTCTAACCTCTAACCCTAACCCTGGTTCTGTCAGAGGGTTCTTCCTGTTAAAAGGGAGTTTTTCCTTCCCACTGTCGCCACGTGCTTAGGGCATCACGTCATCTTTGGGCTTTTTTTCTAATATTGTAGGGTCTTAGCATTACAATATAAAGCACATCAAGGTGACAGTTGACAACTATACAAATGAAATCCAATGCAGCTGAATTGTTTGAAGATTTTATTTTTGTATGCAATGTAATGTTATGTTACTCTGAATGAAAATCAGTTTCTGTAGATTTATTTGCTTTTTTTTTTTTTCCCGGACTGATTTCTGTTCTGATAGTTTACAGTTTACACCTGTTATCAGGTGTGTAAGCACTGCAGAGTAACAGTGCATGCTCAGGTTTAAATGAATGAACTAAATATAAGCAAAACTGGGATTATTTTTTATCCTAAGTCTATATATTACAGATATTTGCCACAGTTCTTAAACTCATAGTGCATACCTCTCAGTGAATTCTGTATTTGTTGAGTTGCCTCTAAATTTCTCTCAGGTATTCATCAGATTTTATATGACTTCATGAATACTAAGATATTCCTGGATGAGCTGTGGCTTCTGAATTGCAGCAGAGAGAAAAGAGTGAAAGTGTAAATGACTGCTGACCTGGGAGAAGAATCCCTGAGGCGATGCACTCGATGACGCGGCGCAGGGCTTCACCTGGACCCAGCGGCCGGTTACAGGTGGCTATGGCCTTTTCACAGATCAGCTCCAAAGGCTGCAGAGGACGAACAAACACAAAACACTCAGCGAAGGATGAACTAAATCAGTCACAGTCCTGATTCTGTTACTGGGGCAGTTTATTACGCGTCACACATACCAAGCACTTTTAAAGGACAAACTTAAAATAAAGCTTGCAGTTTGCATCTTCCATGTATCTACTCCAAACATTATTCTGATTCTGAGGCCGTCACCTACCCAGCCCTTGAGAGGCTGCCACACAGGCAGCCGGTTGCACATGTCTCTGAGGATCCTCAAAACGATGACGCAGGACTTGAGGTCTGTGACTCTGGCCTAGGGAGGGAAAAACGGGCAAAAGTCACCAACAGCACGAGAAGCATTTTAAAGAGGCAAGTGCTTGCAGGCTCAGCAGCGTCAGCTCTAAAAAGTAAAACTTTTAGACTCTGAAAGATGAAAATTGTGCAGCATTATGAGAGGCATGTTCATGAGTTCTGAAATTTCAATATGCTGCTAATACCTCTCTAAGAGACTGAGTGCGAGATTTAACGTGACAATGTGAAGATATCAGACGTATTACATTCAGGGTAGCTCAGCTGTGGAATGAATACTGCAGCAGCTGCCTCTGTCACAACCTCCAAATTCAGGTACCTCGGCTGAATCTGAATTTTTCTATCCTGTCGCCTCACTCCTGCTGACTTTAAGTTAACTGTGGTTTATTGTGTTTTTCCTTAATTAATGACTGCAATTTCACATGCTGACTTTGTCTTGAGGGAGAGTTTGGGTTGAGAGCACAGCTCTTTATGACTCTGCACACTCCCAAAAATCAAACACCTCATCTGATTAAAATTTGGGCAGCTCCCACCTCAAGACTGCATTCCTCTCATGCACTGCTGGACCACTCCCAGCATGGTTGCCATGTTTAGATTTCTCCCTGGTAGTCCAGTTCTGACTTCTTGCACTTGGAACAGAAGCAAGACAAACTTAATCTGGTCACAAATTGTATATATGTTATATAAATATGTACTTTTTACATCTTTTTCCTTAATCGTTCAATTGTATGACAAAAACGGATGCATTAGCTGCTTCTTTAGTGAGCCACAAACACCCTACAAGCTCTGCAATCTCTCTATTCTGTCTATTTATGTAACACTGTATGTACCACAGCTAACTGCTGGGCTCTGTGGTACAGACACAAAGCAAAGTGGAACAAGAGAAAAGAGAAAAGGCACAAAAGAAGAAAAAGAAAAAGAAAAAACTCCACCAAAATCTTAAAAAACAAACAAACAAAAAAAAATCCTGACCAGACCAATGAATGGGACATTTCTCCAAAGAAATAAATGAGCAGCCAACACTGAGATAACACAAGTGAAGCCGAAATGTAGTTTTCAAAATGTGATTAACTAGAATGCCTGCATAAATATTCATATCGAGAATAATTTCATTTTGGTGGATAGCTGGTTTGTTACAAGTCTGTGTGTGGTTCATTTTCCTCATAATCATCATTCTTAGATGATTAAATTGATAAAATTTGAATTACAGAGAAACTAGAGATGAAAAAATAAAAAAATGACACGTCGATTTCTTTTTACTTTTCCCTCTACTGAGGCAGACATCTCAGCATCGTTTGCCACCCAGAGCTGCTAAATCAGTCTGGATTTAATGAAGTCTGGTAGAGAGGTGGGAATGTGGACAAAGGAAGATGCTGGTGTATTATGGAGTGGATGGAACAGTGCATTTAGACCAAAGCGTTGCCCCGGGCTGCTGTTTTTGGACCCCTTAGGAACCCAGAAATTACTCTCCTCCTACACACAGAGTGGAGCAGTCACTAGGGGGAACACCGGTAACGAGAGAGGGACCAAACTGTAGCCAAAGTATGATGAGAACCGCTCTGTCGAACGACCTGAAACTTTGTGCTCTGTGCACGCTGTACAAACACAGATCAGATAAAAAGACAAGCACACAGAGAGTGTTATTTGTCACTTTTCCAATACGATAATTCTCCACACAGTCCCTCCGAGTAGAAAAAAAATGTCTAAACTCAGGACAGATGATTCACTCAACACCTATACATTTAATAAAATAGCAAATCTGTTGCTAAATCCCTTCAAGTTTAAAAGAAACCACTTATAATATAAAGAGAAAAGTAACTGAACCACCCAAAGAAGACGGTGGTTGAGGCTATTACATCTAGACTTTAATAGAAAGCAAATGAAGCCTGAGATTACTGACACTTTCATTTGCACAGGATGGCTTTTCATAATAATCAAGACTGTAATTTCATTCAGGTGATCTCACTGAAACTACGCAGACAGGGCGAATGAGACAGACGTCGCTATTTGTATCTACAGTTATTACAAATCAGTGGAGATCCTCAGGTCATGTCAGCCCCGTCTGAATATGATGAAACAGAATCCGGCTTGTGCTGCTACACCTTCAGACCACAGTGCAGCCCTTCACTCTGATAGTACTTGGCAATTAGATCTCCTTCCCCGAGGGAAACTACTGGCCGGTTCACCTGACCTTGACCCTCATCTCTCTCTCCTGCCTCTCAAGTGGAGGAAAAGCTCAGTTCATTCAGGACAGCAGAGCTGAAGCTCATCTGAAACTTGATTTGGTGAAGAACCTCTTCATGACCCCGTCTCCGTTGGAGCTATATCTCAGGCTCCTCAGCTACTCACGCTGATAAAAACTTCACTACTTCTACCGTTTCTTCTATTCCCATGCTGCCTGTTCTTTTTCTAACAAACTCTACAAGCTCATCCTGGAAACATCTATATTCAGCTCTGTTACTCCACAGTTGGACTCACTGGTTAAGTTTCTCACAAAAGGAAGTGCAAAGGAATATGTATCGTTATCCAGTGCAGTTTTCTGACATCTGGAGATGAGCTTATTGACTGATCTGCCATTAAATACGGCAAAGAGCACACATAAGATTTACTAGCATAATGCACAAAGTGCAAAACTGTGTTGAAGGAACTGTTCTGTAGGTTATCTACTAACAATCTGCAATCAGTTAATTCAAATAAGGACAAAAGCAATACAACAAAAATAGAGAAAACTGGAAGGTCAAAAACAAGCAGAACCATTGAGGGAGAAAGAAATCTTAAATATTATATCCATTTCTCTCCAGAATTTTTCAACACCTCGCTCTAATTTTCTGTCTGTATGGGAGGTTTGACAATTTCAAGTCGAAGGAAAGAATCTAGCTCCACCTGTGGGCATCAGTTACGCTCAGTGACACCTGAAAGTAACACCATTGTAAGATTCATACAATATTGCTGCCTTTTTAATCGAGCCCAAGTTGCTTGTTAGTATTTTGCATTGAGCCAATGTTCTCACTCTGACTCCACATTAAGTTCCATTGTGTTGTATTAAAATAACAGTTTTATTAAAGACCAGGAACAACCGAGGCTATGCTCCAAATATTCAGGGTTAAGAGCTAGTGGAAAAAACCAAAGCCCCCACAGTTTGAAGCAATCCACCCACATCAATTACATGCTCTTTGGATAACTACCTGGCATACCTCACAGCAACTACTGCAGCTAAATAAAGCGCACAATAACATTTTTTCCAACTATAAGTAATGGTGCATTTTGGAGTAAACTGACTGCTACAAACATGACTAAATCACGCATTTAAATACTCTCCTCCCCACATTTTTGCAAATTTTGCATTTAGGCGAATGCAAAAATAACTGCCAATGATTTCAGTCGTTAAATGTTGATGTGTGTCTTTAATAGATCAGGAAAGCAGCTTTGGAAAAGGAGTAAAGAACAGAAGACATGATGAATGATGCCTTTATCTGCTGTTTAAATTATTAAAAAAGGAGCTTCATTTCAACCTCTCATTAATGTTTTCATTGTGGCTTGATGAGTTTCAGGGAAATGAGATGCACAAGCTTCACTGAGTCATCCCAGAGCTCACATACTTTACACCCCTCTCCGGGAGCAGGTTCTACAAACTGTTCAACAGCTTCTTCTCACAAGCTGACGGCTCCTGAGCCCTCGCTGCCCCCCAACCACCCAGTCGGCCACCTTGGAATGACTATAAATTCAGACCTATTGTGCACATCAGTTCATTTGCATACTGTCTTAAAATTGCATTATCACTACGTAAGAGAAATGAAACAAATATACTTCACTGCTGCTGTGAACAATTTACAATTCCCAGCTCATATTCAGTCTTCTTCTTATGTATTTTATACACGTGCCTGCATCGTGGTCCAGGAGTAAGTAACAAAGTGAACAGCTTTTCTGAAAGTGTTATTTTCATGTTCATGTTTTCAGGACCACATTGAAGACAGTTGAAGAAAAACACAGAGTGTATTTGGTAGCAGTGGCTCCTAAAACAGACATGCCAACAGACAGGTTCACACGATGAGGCGCTCCTGAAATTGGTATCGGTTATGACATCTGTCCCTTTCTACTCAGCGATGAAGTGCTTCCCCCTTCCGATATGTTTTGTGTTTGTATTCAAAATAATGCATGTTCATCCCAAAATGTCTTATAACGCCGTTCTGTCAGAGCACTTGTTTGTCCCACATAAAACTTCATGGCAGAAAAATAACAGCTGTGTTTCGGCTGAGTAATAACATCTACAGCGGGCGGTTGGACGGGTAATTGCAGGTGTATCAGACAGCCTGGTTCTTGTCCCATTTGGTCTGCTGTTTTTCTACTTTCTGACTTATTACTTGGTCATGGTTAGGAATAGAACACACTATGGGTTGAAATCTGCCTCCTGCACAGCAGTCACCTTGCTAGTCTACAAATGACTAGTTACCTTGAAGCGCTAGGGCACAGATGTGGACAAAAAAAAAAAAACACCTTAAATGATCCATGCTAGTGGTTTTGAACTGCATAAACTAACAGGACTGTGAACAGACTCCCCCTGAAATTAGCCCTAAAGGAAGTCAGGGGAAGTTCCTGTGTTAGGTGGAAAACTCCCTCATCTTATACAAGTAGAGAGAACCAAAAACTCTGAACGTAAGGAGCAGGTTGTGTTGTTGTTGCTGCAGCAGTGTTGGTATGAGTGCATCAGTTGAGCAGTAAAAAGCTTCATAATGTCAATGCCGTAGCACCTGTGTGCTAATGATAGACTTCATTACTTTGTGTCATTTATTACGGTGATACAAAGAAAATATAGGTGCCATTACGTTTCCTTCAAAACCAAGTTGCTGTCACACATTAAAGCCAAGCAAATGTAATTTTAGGCACGTGGCTGAATGCTCAGGTTGCCAGAATATAAAGACAGTGTAGAGAAATCTGTCACAGCCCAGCTGTGCTCACCTGGAACCATTTGGCATGCCGGAGTGAAGCCAGTGCCGTCTGGCACTTCTGCCTGTCCAGGACGTCCTCCTCTTCCTCCTCCTCCTCCTGTCTCCGTTTGTCAGCGTCCTGCTCGCCCTCCTCTGGAGAGAGGGACAGGATGAGACAAGACAGACTGAGCGTGAGCACGCTGACCTCTCACACTCACACACAGACACACGGGCAGCAGGGTCGGACAGCTAATTATTAGGCAAACCCACTGATCTGACCGAATGAGCTAAGAGGAGGGGAAATTTGAGAAACTGTGTGATTTTTCTGGGAGAGGGAGGATTCTCATGCACAAGGCAGGATCTTTCATGACACTGACAGGAGGAACCGGAGTAGACGTGAGCGCATGCGTCTTGCTGCCCGGCCGAAGTCTCACTCTAGATGCAGATCAGTGGCTGAAGGCAATGGAACACGCCAGATTAGTGTGTTATCGATTACAGCGCAGGACGAAAATGAGAGCATGGCAATGACTCGGGACCAAAAGCCAGATTAGAGATTAAAAATAACACTTTAGAACAAGGACACATTGGATGGAAAACTGAGAAAAACTGGCTCAAGGGGGTCTGAGTTTGGGTGACAGGCAGAGTTGATACAAAGAGACATTAGCTATTCCACTTGAAGAGGGGAACAAAAGTCATCCTGCTCAAAAGGCTATGCAGTTTTCTGGGGCGCCATGCTAGTATTTTCACTCTTGCGGGGTCGGTCAGATGTTTATGTTTGACTGAAACAGTCTCTCCACACCGGGTTCCTGTGGGGAGCACTCCTGCCATGACTGGAGGCCAAGCCATGGGAGAACGACAGCAGAAGAAGAGTGACAGCAGATGACAACATAAACATCTGAGAGTGAGAACGCCACCCTGGAAAGAAAGTGAAGGCTGTTTGTTCTCAGGAGCAGCTAAGGGGTGCCCACTGTGGGACAGTCAAGCAGACGAACAAAAGGGGGAACAGACCGCAGACCACACTGCAGAGCTCGGCGAAGGCCCGCAGGTTATCTCGTATCAAATAAATCTAAGATAATGAGTTATCTGCAAGCTGAGACATTGTTGCAAATATCAGATATTGATTGATGTACCATCTCACTCGAATCAGTGTCATTATGGTTCAAAGCACTCTTCCGATGAGCAACAGCCAGCAGAGATTAAATTGGGACTAAAGCTGACAGGAGTGCTGACGCAGAGCATTAAAAGGCTCTTGCTCACAGAGAGGAAACAGCAGTGTAGCCTCTAAATCCACAAGTATTCAAATTCCAATTTATCCGTGTGGCACCGCGGCAGTAAAGCGAGCCGAGGAGCGATGCATGTGGTCTGGCAGTCTGTTGCTGTAGAGACCGTAGTGAAAGCTGAACAGGATGGAAGAGGTGGAAGACAAACGAAGGAGCTGATGAGAGAGACGGGGGATTTCTCCCATGTCACTCCTCCTCCAAGACCAAGACTGAGTGAGGACCTTCATGTTCTGCCCCCGGGACTTCTGGCTACTATTTACCACTTTGGCAGCAAGTGTGCAGCTAATGGCGTGATTTGTTTTAATCGTGCATGTGTGGGCGCACTCTTTCCGTTCTGCTTGCTTGATGCATCTGGAGACCTCGGAAACAAATGAAAATGAAGTGAAGTGAACACCGACAAAAAGCCATTAAGAGGCTCTTAGTTTGTGGCTATAAACTAAAGACGGAGTACAAAGTAGACAATTGGATACCAGGGTCACGCAAACGATGTTCCATATAGATAAACAGACAACAAAGCAGAGCATGATGGATACAAACACTTTACACACTACACGACAGGCTGAGTGGAATCTATGGAGTCTCAAGTGTGCCATGCTAATCACGGGTGCTTATTTTTTTTCAATAATTAATTATTTAACTTAATATAAAATCTAAAAAGTATTACAAACACGTCAGACCTTTACTACATTTACTGCATTCCTCTGCTCTTAAATGTGTCAGGCTAATGATCGTTTTTCTTTGTAAGTTGGAATCAATTATTCAGTTTTATGTAAAGTCTAAAACTAAATCATTAGGGACCTACCTAACCTTTACTGCATGACATCTTCTTCATTATAGTGAAATCTATGGAGTCTTTGGAGCCAAATAAATCCTTAGATTTTGAAATACACCTCATTATCATTACTATTCTAATTATTTTGGCAGCAGAGTGGTTCAGTAGTTAGCAATGTGACCTGACAGCAAGCATGTATGTTGGTATGAACACTGTGAAAAAACAAAAAAACAATCAGATTAATTAAGACAGCTTGTTTGTTTTGCTGTTTTGAAGTTATAAATTTCAAAATTCAAAATTGTAGAAACAGATGTCATGTGCTACTTTTACTATAAGTACTATTTATTAGATTGACTTAAAACATTTTATTCAATAAGGACAATATGCAGGCAGCTATGAATTGCCTGATGCAACACTAAATACAAAAATAACTACTGATGTCATCCCATCAATTATTTTAATTATTAAATTGTTTAGATTACAAAGTATCTGAATTTTTTTAAATTACATTTTCAGAGCCAGAGAAAAATTTTCTTTATATTTTTTGTCTAACAACACAAAACCAAAAACGTTTGGACAACTAGCAATTATCTGATCCAAGAAGCTGAAAAAAGTGAGTGTTTGTATTTTCAAAATCTCTGACTGACATAAAATCAATTTTGTGTTGTTTAATCAACTAAACAGTTCATTCTTATCTAACACGTGTAGCTTTGTCTCTGCTCTTTGCTTTGTCTGTAAGTCAGTTTGATACAAACTGCAGGGGTTAAAGCATCATTCATCATCAACACTGAACTTCTTTTTAATCCTGTGTACTGAATATAAACCTAAACCAAGGATAAATTTTGGTAATTAACCAGAGTTAAATTTTAAAATTAAGACCTACAAGAAGCTGCTAGAGGCATTAGCTTGTCTCATGGTTTGGCATTTGTTATAAATATTCTGATTAGCTTTCATTTAAAGATGACTGCCTGTAATTGAGTTCACAGGACTGCCGAGCGCCACCTACAAATTAAATTACATCTAAATGACAGCAACAACCAGATTTAGATGGACCAGGTGGCCAGTCATTAAAAAGTGAATTATTCTGGCAACAAACTCAAAGCTCTGTACAGCAGAGAGCTAAAAACACACGTAGATTTAATCATGAATGAAAAATAAGGAGTATGTGTGTGAAACAGTGAGCGGTGAAAATCATTTCCCAGAGGCAGGCCATGAAGGAACCATCAGTCAGAGGTCAACACCACATACAAATACGGACAACCCCCACTAAATTCTCCCCGACATCATTAGCTTAGGGGAATTTCGATTAGTGACCGGGACATCAGAGTAATTCAATTAACACAATTTTTCCAACATGAAATTATGGGATGTCACTCTGAGCCAATAACAACTGATCAACAGACAGAGGTCAGCCCCAGTAATTAAAGCAAAGGGAGTACAGGTGTGGATGTGGGCTGCTGGGTAATGTAGTCATTTTGTCCTTTTGGTGTGTGTGCTCTATCAGTAGACATGGACCAGAATTTCATGGTGACCCAGTGAGAAGTCCAGTTAACAGAGGAAGGGGTGGGAGAAGAAGGAGGGGGGTAGAGGAGCATGTCTGAGGCAGAGAGTGAGAGTGGGTTGGTTTGGTTTGGTTGTTGGGGAAGCCCCTTGTACCCGGGGTTTCCTGCTGTTGGGTGTGGGGGATGCCTCGTCAGCAGCGGGGCCGCAGAGATGTGCCAATCCACGCAGCGAGGCGACCTGCGGAGCTACGGCAACAAAACCAAGAGTCAGTGAGCAGCGGCCAGCTACAGGAGGCACATGATAAAAACCAGGGAACCACTTAGACTGTCATGGGTCAGTCACCAGAAAAAAGACCCTCAGAGACCCTGCAAGGTAGCACAGATAGGGTTGAGTTTGGCTGGCATTTTATTACTGATAAAAACCTATTTTAACATGTGTAAAAAACAAAAACCCAGAAACAGCTGAAGTTAGAACTAAACTTGATTTTGATTTGATATCACCTTTACTTGGCAAAGAAAGAAGAAACACCCCATTGTTAACCTCATTATTTAAAAAGAGAGAATGAAATAAACAGTGTGTGTCAAACATGTGTCCCGGGGCCATTCTCAGCCTGCCAAAGGTTTCTATTCAACCCACCAGATGGCTTTTTCAAAGCCTGAAAACTGCAGTTAAGTAATTAATTGCTCCGATTTTTCAATAAAATGCACTGGTACACATCAGTGGAGATGTATGGAGTGTTAAAGTAGACAATCTGTTTCAATCAAAGAATTTAAAA